CTTGGTAAGACAGACTACCATAATTCCGTAATCTCGACTGTGTTCCTGATGATGAGTGGCTCTCAGGCTCGTCCCGTTGTATACCCTGTCCGGAGGCGGGCAAGCGTAAAACAATAGGTCCGGCCACACAATCTGTTCAAGGGTGTGTATGCTCCGAGAATTACTTCGTCATCGTCGTCGTCCACTCCACTTCGGAAGGACTACTCCCAGTATATGGTGGATCCAACGCCAGCAAGCTTGCCCCGTGTGAGGCGTGTCCTGAGGGAATGACCTGCAGGGGAGGGGTGGAATGGCGTGGTGAAGGTCCATATAAAGTCAGATGAAATCACTCACTCGTGGGGGGCAATCCGAGCCGGAATTGGTTTAGATAGCTTATCACACGCGGCCCGTGGTGCCGTCGGGGATGTGGGCTACTCCGATGGAGCCTATGAGGCTACGCAAGTGTCTCAGCGGGAGGGAGTGCCCTGGAGGTAGGTCTCGTGATCACTGAAAGGAATGCTATCTATACATTAGGTCCAATAGGCGACCTGTGCTCGGAGCATCGTATCGGCCTGGTATGCGCCCTCTGTGAGCCCGGGTAACTCGATAACGTCATCCCTCTGGTCGATGCAATATGTAGGTTCTATCACAGCAGCGGAGGGTGTGCTCACTGCAGTGGATCGGACAGTGTGATCTTGCCTTTTGTGGTCCTATCCATACTTGTGGTCTATCACCTCAATTACAACCTCATGAACAGGGAAGTCCAGCAGGTCCGTCGTCGTTGTCCTCATACATTCGTTCTTGTCTTACACTTCGTGATCTTGCATTCCTATACTTGCGGACCCCTTGAACCCTCCCAGGCCGTGACTGCCGATGTATCAATAGCGATGTCCCTCGGATCGTTAGTAACATACTTCCAGCTCATCGCCTTATTCTCAGAGATCGGCTTCGACTGGTCCACTGAAGTAGGAGCATCTTCAAACTATGTCTATGCTCTCTGTATGTCTCAGGTCTCGACCCTCCTCGATTTAGCAAAGCTCTCCCTCTTCAACTTTGACATTCTCAGACTGGCGTGTTTCATGGAAGGTCCTCACCAGAGCCTATGGCGGTATCTGGCAGGGCTCGTCCTTCCCTATGGGATTATCATGTCAGCATTGGAGGGAGGTTGGCAAGAATCTACTGAATATAGATTCAGTAGCATCCACATAGTTGAAGTTCTAACTAGCAAGATCTTCACACATCTTCTCTAGGTCTCATCTCTGTCATCGATGACCTGCATACAGTTAACCCGCTTGTTGCGGCGATGGAGTTATAACATCAGGTACATTTGGCTATTCTATTTCGTCACTCGAGCATTCAAAGTAGCAGAGAAGTCGGGGATGACCTATGATAAAACGGTGAACATGACAGGCCAGGTATTGAGATGCTCATTGTCACCATTATCCAATCGCTCTCTTTGTAGGTCATATCTGTCACGCTGTTGGCCATAGTCTCAACCGCCGTGACTCCCTTCAAGTGTTATTCCCATAACGACTTGGGTGACCGCAGTCTTGTGCGGTACCCAGACGTTGAGTGCGGCTCCGATGATCATCAGGTAGGTCCCATCCGGCGCCTCCTCTTCCGAACTCCTCCTCCCAGGTCATGATTGCGCTCAGTGTTGTATCGTCCATCTTCGTCATCAGCTTCCTTCTATTCTGTTACCAGTTAACCCGTTGGGCCAGTGAAGAGCTTTCAGGAGAGAGAGGCCTTACCTTCAGCATCCGATACCGATTCCTCTTCTATCGATTACGCCAAGACAGATATCAGTTTGGTCTTTGGATGATGCTTCGTAACGTAGCGCTCGCCCTAGTCCCACTTGTCAGGCCAGACGACCCCTATATCAAACTGCTCCTATTTACTATACTCGGTGGCGCTGGTCTCGGCGTGCAGTGTTTCTTCTGGCCTTGGCGGACGAGCATGGCCAACGTGTGTGACCTTGTTTGTATGTTGCTGATGATATTCGTCTCGGCCGCAGCATCTTTTTTCATCCCTGAAATCGTCTCTGTCGGTCCTGATGCGTATAAGATTGCCCTACTAGTCCTCTTTCTATTCGGACTTTGTTATTTACTGTCGCAACTAGGCTACTTCCTCTACCTCCTGCGTGTTAGAGGCTCATGTGGAATCATCTGCGACGATGTAGACCTCCGACACGAGCTTAACGGGCTGTGGAATAAGGTGATGCTGGTGTGTTCCAAGGACAAGTCTGGCTATGACTTCACCGAGGAGATGAACCAATACGAACTCCGCCGACTATCACTCTTGCTTGGTACGCAC